TGTCTCTTTTGGCCCGTTATATATCGTTGTCAGCCTCACGGTTTTAAAACGTGTTTACTAGGGAGAGGTTTCTATACTCTTATGAGGAATGCTTCGTTCCCCTCTCCAACCGATGAGAAATCTCACAATCCACCCCCCTTGGGGCGCAGCGTCCTTGTTGGCACACTGCCCAGTGTGTGGCTGGATCTGATACCATTTGTAATAGCTCAAGCCCACCGCTAGCAGATATTGTCCGTTTTGGCCCGTTACGTATTGCCATCAGCCTCAAACCGTCTACTAGAGAGAGGTTTCCACACACTTAAAAGAAATGCTTCGTTCCCCTCTCCAACCGATGTGAGATCTTACAATCCATCCCCCTTGGGGCCCAGCGTCCTCGTTGGCACACCGCCCAGTGTCTGGTTCTGATACCATTTGTAACAGCCCAAGCCCACCACTAGCAGATATTGTCCGTTTTGGCCCGTTACGTATTGTCATCAGCCTTACGGTTTTAAAACACGTCTACTAGAGAGAGGTTTCTACACGCTTATAAGGAATGCTTTATTTCCCTCTCCAACTGACGTGAGATCTTACAATCCATCCCACTTGAGGCCCAACTTCCTCGCTAGCACACTGCCCAGTGACTGGATCTGATACTATTAGTAACAGCTCAAGCCCACCGCTAGCAGATATTGTCCATTTTGGTCCGTTACGTATCGACGTCAGCCTCACAGTTTTAAAACTCGTCTACTCGAGAGAGGTTTCCACACCCTTATAAGAAATGTTTCGTTCCCCTTTCCAACCGACATGGGACCTCACAATCAAACACCTTCCTAGAAACCAAAGGATGCCCACATTTTGCATACACATCCATCAATGTGTTTCCAACTCCAACGCTCCCATCAAAGCCTTTCTTTACCACAAAGCCATGGATTCCATCCGTGATCCCCTTACCCGACACTTGAAAACAAGCGGATAAAACTGAAACCATGACGACTGAGTCGAGAGGAACATTGTTGCCATCTTCAATCTGTGTTTCCTCCTCCAACAAACATGATAAGAGTCTTAAATTAAAACTCTACGAGTGAAGAAAATTGTAAGGAATTCGAATAAAATAGCACATTTACAGTAACTTATCAGCTTTGAGTCTTAAATCCGATGGTGTTAAGACTGTGAATAGAAGTTCAAATTTACTTCATCTATCAACATAAGCTATAAAACACAGCATTACCTAGTAATCATTGACGTCCAAGAGACCAGATTTCGAAGGGGAATTTCGTCGAACAGTTCTCGTGCATCCTTCAACTCGCCACATTTCGAGTACATACCGATAGAGCAGATGACACAAAAAGATCAGTCTCAAAGCCGAAGACAAACCTTGCTGGTGAGCCTGCCTGCCGGAGACGAGATCGCACAGAGCCGAACAGGACTTGATGGCGCAGGGGAATGTGGAGAGAGTAGGACTGAGGGCAAGCTTTCGCATGGCGAAGAAGGCGCTAAGGGCTTCAACGGAATCGCCACTGCGAGCCAAATCGGCGCCAACAGAGTTTTTAGAGTGGAGATAATATTTTTTTTATTATAAATTCATGTTATTCTCTAAATTAATCTATATGAGACTTTCATCCAACACGTTCATAATTAGGTCTCGTATTAATGGAGATAATAATTTTTTATTATAAATTCATGATCGGTTCTCTAAATTAACCAATGTGGACTTTCATCCAACATGTTCATAATTATTTATAGAAGAAGCTTTCTTGGCTTGGCTTGGTTCGTCCTATTCACGAGACCAATGAATATTGAATTCTCTTTCAGATGGACCGTGGAAGGAGAAGGAAGGTTGGAATTGTTAGATAAACACAACCCTCAACAGTAGTATGATATAAACACAACCCTTAACAATGGTATGATATAAACACAACCCTCAACAATGGTATGATACTTTCCACTTTGAGTATATGCTCTCATGGCTTTGCTGGCTTCCCCAAAGCGTCTCATCCCAATGAAAAGAATATTATTTGATTATAAACCCCGCTTTGGGCTTCCCCAAGGTCTCATCCCAATGAAGAGAGTATTATTTTATTATAAACCCATGATCGTTCTCTAAATTAGCCGACGTGGGACTTTCATCCAACAGGAAAGTCAACATGGGCCTATTATTGTGAATTCACCCGACATTCTAATTATTTTATTCTAAAGCAAACCACGAGCAATTCGTCCTATTCAAATATTCACGACCAATAAACACTTAAATAGATCTTGAAAGGAGAAGGAATGTTGGAATGCAAACAGGCGTCCATAATTAAATTTGTACCCCATTTTTTTTTAACGTCTAGTGTCTGTTATTTTTTTATGAAATTTTTAATATTTGTTTAAAAAGTACCCTCAAAAATATATTTTTTTAAATTTAAAAATAGATAAAAACTATTATACTTTATTTCAAAAAAAAAAAAAATTAAAACTTTATTAATATCCTTAATTTTTTAAAAATTCTAAAAAAAATACCAACATGAGCTATTGCTTACACTGTAATAAATGTTTTAGCAGCCAATGAAGAAGAAACTGCTAATACATAAAGATTCATGGGATTTATGGTAAAGAATCTAAGACCCAAGAACAAGAACAAACAACAGAAATGTACTTTTAAGGTGATAAAAAGAACAAAACCAAGCAGATTTCCCATCCAAATCCATCGCTCAGCTCCAGGTGATTAATCTCGAGCACCGATACCGATACCGAGACCGATACTGACCTGCATTTGCAAAAACATCGAGCGTGTGTAATCATATAAGATCAATGATAAATGGTAGATATCAAAAGAATCACTTGATACAGTATTCTGTGTGAGGATGCTAATGGTTTTACAACAGGAACGCAGGAATGTTGCCTGCTAGAGAAGTTCATTCCAAGAATTATATAAATGGAAGATTTGGTCAATATGTAAGAACAGATCATCCTACAGCGATCGATCGATTGAATCGAACGCTAGAGAAGCCTGAGGTGTGCGGTATCGTTCATCGTTTTTATCTGCCAGCCCGACTTTAGTGAATGTTGTAAAACAGTCACAGATGAATCATCTATGCAAAACTTGTGCAGCATTGCCAAGCTGCATTCTAGGAGGCCTGTGAGGAGACATTTAATTGGAATTGAATGAGTGAAGATGCCGATACACGTCGTACATGATGACGAGTTTCTGATATTTAGAGGGGCGTCCCGAGGGGAGATCTCGTCTTCAGCTTCGTGTTCTTCGGTGGTAGTCACGGTTTGTAGCCTGCTCTTGCCTGACTTCTTCCTCGCGATCCCATGTCGCTGCCTGTGAGGCAAGTCCCAATGTGGGGATGATTGGAGAGAATGTGCATCTCGATCGTGAATTGAATTGGTTAGTTCGTGCGACATTTGAAGCGTCTCATTGGGACGGATTGCAACGTCTGATCTCAGCTTTTCAGGAAGCTCCAAGATGGTCGCGTTCAGAAAATGAACCATACGGAACTCGACCTGCCTTAACGATTCTCCAGCTGGTGCAGCGAAGTCGGGTTGAATTCTATCAATGAAGCTCAATGTTTCAGGCTTATATATATCGGACCGGAGGCAATGTTCCCAGTGTCCATGACTCATCTCTGTAAGGGCATCTGCTTTTTGTATTTGTTCTTCTGAAAAATTCATTTCCTGCAAGTTCATTTCATAGATGGTTTACAAAATTGAAGAACAATGCAGAAAAAAGGATCAAACGCTGGCATTAACCGATGAATCATCGACGCCATCGACCCGTTTCAATCAAATTTTCAACCATTGTAATCCAACTTCAACAGAACAAATCATCCATACCCCTCAAGAATTCAACAAAGAACATCATCTGATTATCATCATAGTTGAAATAATATGGCTAAGATCAGTAGCATTCAATACTTGTTTGTTCTATAAACTTCATGGATTCTAAATTGGCTTCAAAGTTATCCATCTAATTCAAAGATGAACAAGAGATGAACAAGAGATGAACAAACGAAGTTGAATCGATTCAATCCTAAGTTAAAACAGAATTGGATGTCTCAGAGGACTTTTAACAAACAGTTTGTGAGCATAACGCGATGGAATCACTACCTGACAGACTGAAGCGGCCATCGATCGGGCCCGATCCAAGGGAGACGAAAACACGGCATTGAAACGAACCCCCTGAGATTTCAAGAACACAGCCAACGCTCTTGCCTGCCGCTTACCTTTCGGCGTCAAAGCCGCTTCAGGGCACCGTCCGCCGACCAAGTCCGATCTCAAATTCAACTCGTACTCCCCATGGCTGATCAGAAAAACCTCCATGACCACTCGATCGTCGTCAATCGAACTCGACGAGAAGCTCCGTGTGAACACCGGGGGCGGAGGAAGCTGTGGCGGCGGCGCTAGAACATTATACGGATCCCAAACCTTGATCACCGGCCCCAATCGAGGCGTACCAAGGGACGACAGCTGAGGAGACAAGGGCGACGCCAATGCGTGACATGGTAGCATCTCTGGCTCCTGCTCCAGAACCTTCTTCACCAAATAGTTCTCCAACTCGCCGCTAGCCGGCTCGACATTATCATCACCATCATCGTCCTCCTCCTCCCGTTCCTCCGCTACTTGCCCGGACTGAGCCGATCCCATTGCAGAAAAATCAACCGAAAAACCCTATCTATGTCACCGATTTCCTCACTGAAAATGCTCATGATAGAACATCGGGGAGCAAGAATTCTGCATAATGCAACGTAAATTTGGATAAAAACGAATCAAGGGCTCCTGTGTCGTTGTTCCGGTGGGGCGCTGGTGGGCAGATCTAGAGAATAAGGGAACAGATCTGATCGGAGATGGGCCGCTGGGGGAGTGGGCAAAGCGCTATTACAGGATGAGAGTTTTTCAATTTGATGATTGTTTTGCTTTTCTTTTCTTTTCACATGATCCGTTTCGTACAAAACAATTGAAAACTTCACGTTTCTCTGTTGTATACAAAAGAGACAAACATTTTTAAGCTTACGCTTCTGCCCAAACTCACAGTCAACACAGTAAAAATAAAACTAACGGTAAAATTCGCTGTGGTAAAAGTAACTTTTCGGCCCTCCCCTCACCATTATATCAATTAATTTTGAAAATTTTACCATAATTGAGTCAAAACTCTATATTCTACTTTATCCTAATAATATTCTACTTTATGTAATAATGTCTAGTTGAAAACTTCCTTCCATGATGAAAGTTCCAATACAAGAACGTAAAAGATGACGATGGATTTATAATTAAAGAATACTCTCTCCGTTGGTAGGATTTTTGGGAAGTAAAACAAAGTCATGAGAGCTTATACTCAGTAGAAAATATCATACTACTGTAGAGAGTCGTGTTCGTCTAACATGGTATCAGAGTCATGCTCTAAACTTAGTCGTGTCAATAGATTGGTAAATCTTCCAATGTCGAACAAAGGACTCCAAAAGAAAATGAGTCAGCCTCCTCGAACGTATAATAAAAAATGACTAAGACTCCAAAAGAAAAAGGAGTCGAGCCTCGATTAAGGGGAGGCGTCGTACTTTATTTGATGGGAGGTGTTGGATGATGAAAGTCTCACCTCGACTAATTTAGGGAATGTTCATTAGTTTCTAATAAAAAAAAAAAGAGACCTTATGGGAAGCCCAAAGTAAAACCACGAATGCTTATACTCAAAGTCGACAATATCATACCATTGTGGAGGGTCATGTTCATCTAACAAGATTTATAAAATTTACCCTCTTAAGTAAATATTTACAGTATCATGGAAGGAATAGATAAATTATATATATATATATATATATATATATATAGTTAATTATTAAAAAAAAAAAACTTCCAATTATTCTTTTACAAATGGTAACATTACATTATATAAATGTTTGAAAATGGTCGATGAGGTAGAAATTTAACTAAAACGTTATATGGAGTAAATCCGAAAGAAAAAAACGAATGTTGACTTTTCAACGTTACAACAGTGAATAAATGTATTTATTAAAATAAATTGCAATGTTTATTTTTGAAAAAATAAAATAAATGTGCTGATGAAAATTTGAATTTAAGCAATATTTTATATAAACGAGGGAATGATTTAAAAACTTTATGAACTAAATAGTCAAAAGATTCACGACTTTTAATTTAATCTTTCTAGGTTTGTTTTATATATATATATATATTCTTAAATTTGCGTTTATTTTAAAAATATCCGTAAACTTTCAAAAATTTCGATAAAACCTTTCAACTTTTGAAAATTACGATAACATTCTTTAATGGACAGTCTTAGATAGACAGTTTCTATAGGACGTAGGTCTCCCAAAAGGTAACGGAGGCATGTAAAGGTTTTCTCGGACCAGACAGAGATTGACCCTCAAGTGGAAAGTCAGAAGGGAGCTTGACTACAAGACCCACCCATCGAGCAGGTACGGAAGTTGGCCTTGTGATCCAACAGTGTCGAGTGGAAGGGTTGTCGCTTAACGTTTAAAAGCTACTCTAGAGATAACATGCTAATCTTCCCCAGGAGCTCATATCGACGGAAAAGCTTGACACCTCGATATTGGGTCTTTGCTGTCTGAAGATGTAGTATTCGACCTACCACATAGAGAAGTTTATTTGATTATAGTTAAATCAATTATGACATTACAAGTATTTCATTTGACATATGTTTATTTTAAAATTATATATATATATATATATATATATATATATACCGATTAAATATTTAAAGAGAAAAAAAAACTAAAAGCCATGTGGGATTGTAATTGATTTGACGTGGATTGGATTTTGAGAGAATTGGGCTGGGCTGGGCTGGGCCGGCCCAAAAGGGAGAAGGTAGGGTAGGGATGGACGTGTAGGAGTGGGGCAAACGCAGTCGTTTTGCAGCACATGGAGAGGATTATCCAGCCAGCGTTACACAGCTTGGAACCGCCAGGTTTTGGGTTTCACAGATCGAATGCATGTCTCGTGTTCGCCACGTGGCTGCATTATACACATTATCCACACTCTCCCTCCTAACATGTGATGGAGAATCATTTTTTATTTATTTATTAATATTTTACTTAAATATCAATTATTGTTTTTCTTGTTCTAAAATTTTCATAAATATGTAAAATAAAAGTATTATTTTTTCCGTGTTTCTATTTCTAAAATGTATATTAATATTTTAATTAAATATAACCTAAATAATATTTTTATTTATTTTTTTTTAAACTTACAATTTAATAAATTAATAAATCCCTTATATAATTATTCTTAAAAAAATTATATTTATTCACAATCTCACATGTGAAGCATTTATATCTCATGAACACATCACTAACATGATAACAAACGTCAAATATTATTAATTTTTATAATAATTTTAAAAGTACCGTAGGATTTGGTTGGATTGTTACTCTTATTTTAAAATTTCAACCCGAGAATTTGAACTTTGTATTTTTCAAAAATTCAACCCAGCCCAACTAAAAAAAATAACCTAACCAAATCTTTGTGGGTCAGGTTAGGTAGTATGGACTGATCGGGTTATCGAGCCATATGAACACTCATAAAGTATATATTTTTTTTTATAACAATTACTCTAAAAGCGTTTTACAAACTAGTTTTATGTCATCTTATACACGATAGCTTTGAGCAAACCCCATTTCGAGATAATGCTCTGAGCACTTCTAGACACAGTCTAAATAACTTAGAGCAAACCTCATTTCGAGATAATGCTCCGAGCATTTCTAGGCACAGTCTAAATTGACGGCTATGGTATACTAAACGTGTAGCCAATTTAAGAGGTTCTCGAAGATGATTCTAGAAGTTTATATAGTATGATTGTAATACGTCGTAATCGATAGCTAACTTTGTTGACTCGAGAGTTGGAGGAAGAAAAAGGGAAATGAATAGTGAAAATAACAAAAGGTTTGAGAGTTCAAATTTGTTAGAAGGGGGCGGTGAATTTGGGAGAAGAAGGAAAGGGAATCACGAGAAACTTGGGATTTCTTTTACAAAATTTATTCCAAACTTTGCCTCTCATCTCCTCCATTATTTATTTACTTTTCCAATTTGCAATTAATGTGGCGTGGTTCCAATGGCATTGCAAAATAATAATAATAATAATAATAATATTAGACGTATGTATGTATAATTCGGAATCCGAGGCCCGGGAAGCTGGTAGATATTTTAAGTTGTTAGCTAAATGGAGTCGAAATAAAAGGGTGAGGTTGTATGTACTATGACAATGGGTGATTTGAAGGTCAAAAAGGTGGAGCCGAAGAGTAATCAATCGGCTCTGCATGTGGCAACCATGGTGACTACCCCTCCTGCGTCATAGAAGCCATTGAAAAGAAAGTATCGGGGTTGCTAAACGTTATGATATCATGAGAATGTTGGCATAATCCACCATATCTAAATGGTGCGAAAATTATCTATTTATAATCAAATAAATTACAAGAATATGGAAAGATACTTAAGATGCAAATATCTAGATATTTGCCTTATAATAAAATAATATCAAATATAATATATACCATAAACTATAATTTAATACTAAATCTCCTTAATAAATAAATAAATATATATATATAATTTATTGGGATGAAAGCTAAATTACAAAAATAATGCATCAAAAAATTAATAATTAAATAATTATCTATGAGGCTTAAACTCGATATATATTAATTAATTAATTAATTAATTGGTGGTTCTATTATATATTAAATTTATTTATTTTTTATGTATAATATAACTCTAAATTTTGGATTATGACTTTAATTATTAAGCGAGTGATCTATTATGTATTAAATTAGAATCCTATAAATTAATTCATACGTAATTAAAGTTTTGGATAGTTATTTTTTATTTTTTTTTACAGAAAAATTAATATTAACTTCATAGTTTCATTTTATTTTTATTTTTTATGTGATGCTATAAATTTAAAAGGGTTTTTATTTTATTTTATTTTTTTTCATTTTTTCATTTTTTTAATAATTATTTGAAGAAAAAGAAAGCGCGTAGGACTGTGACGGTTAAGTACATGTATATTTAAAAAGGGTATGAAGTAAATAAATATCACAATAAAAAATATTATTAATTTAATTTAATTTTCTCCATTTTCTATTTATTCATAGGACGACAATTTAAGTGACAAAAATTTAAATTGTACGAGGTAGTGTTTTTAATTTTAGTGAATTTGGCATTTTTTTAAAGTCCAATTTAAGAAGTTCGAAAACTCCTTGATATCTTTTTTGTCTGATAAATGCGACCAACACGGAAATTGAGGTACAATCCAACTCAACCCTATTATACCTTACTTTTAAGATTAGTATGTTTGACGTTTGTAACTAATGTTCGTGATGCATTATGACTCGTAAATATTTGATAGTTCAATTATATGACATTTTAGTTATTACTATTATTTTTTAAATAATTAAAAAATAATTCGATAATTTTACTCGAAGATAGAAGGTTGGGTTGTATTGTGAATTGACCCAATCAATTTGTCCGTTTTAGCTCGTTAGTCTCATGGTTAGTCTCATGGTTTTAAAAGTAGATACTGTTCGTTTTAGCTCGTTAGTCTCATGGTTTTAAAATGCGTCTACTAGAAGAGGTTTCCACACCCATATAAGAAATGTTTTGTTTCTCTCTTCCACCAATGTGGGACCTCACAAGTATGACCGTGAGATTTGACACACGGCTACATGCAACACGTTTTGGACAAGCATGACCGTGACATTGGGCGCATGCCATAGGCTAACGAGGGAACTTGGCACTTCTTTCTTTTGTTGGGTGACTTGGTTCCTTCCATGCTTCCCCCTATGTTTATCTTTGCCTCGTCTTTGATTTTCTCTATTGTATTATTGTTTGTGGCCGTGTGTTTCTTTTTTTCCGGAAAACTTCATTTATTCTGTAACCTAAGGGCATCATTGTCTTTGGTTTGCATACCCAAAAAATATTTCGATAAAAAAATACGAGATTGTACCCCAGAATTTTGTAATAAAAAAAAAAAAAAGAAAAAAAAAAAAAAAAAAAAAAAAAAAAAAAA